ATAAGCCCTAATTAAGACCCCACCCACTCCAGGGTGCATGGGTAAAAATTAAGCTAGGTGGGGATGAGGGGGGAGTGGAGTTGCCCTACTATTTACCTTCAGACAGTTGCAAACAGAACTTGCATACCTCAACACCTGCCTTGCTGGCCCATTTTTTCTGCAGCCGTCAAGGCTTTCCTTTCTGATTGATCCAGAGCTCTGTTATCAGTTGCAGAGGCCTTCAGGAAAGCCTTGCTGGCTGCAGAAGAAGTTCCTGTGTCAGGCCTGCAGCCATCTTTTCTTTTGGATCTTTGGCCTGCCACACTTTCTATTATTCTATTATGCATTTTCTATTGTGGGAAAATGGGCAGGGAGATTGTAGGAGTGAGATGCGATGTAGCCATAACAAAATTCTTTCTAGAAAGCTAAGGTCATTCTTTGTCTTTGCATCTCTGCACCTGACCGGAACTGGATGAGTGGAACTGCCAGCATGGCAGTGGAAGATTGGACCATGTGATGGCCTTGTGGTTGTGGGGGCAAGAGCATGAACTTTCAACTGGGTGGGGAAAACCGGGAAGCTTTCAGATTCGGTTTTCCCAGATGTGCCAACATGGCTGTTTTAAAAAATCGGAACTTTGAGCAAATACTTTGCCTTGGACTCTGATTTACTTTTGGATGCTATTTGGAATCCTGATACAACCTCTGTTTTTGTGGTTATTTGAATTATGCTTATTTTGATCATACATAGCCCTCTCATTGTGTCCCATGGCATACACATGCTATCTGTTTCTAATAGCGCTATATGTCTGTGGGAGGCACCGGCATTATTTAATTAAGCCTCTTTACCCGAAGAACTCAAAAGGACATCCGATAAAAGCAAAAAATGTAACAGGTCTAGACAAAAAGCAGCAATGCTTTTTTGGCAATTGTTGATACTTAAAACATATTTTTAAAATTTTTACTTTTATATTTCAGACGAGGACCTTCCTGAAGAAGAAGACGAAATGCCTTCCTTCAGATACAGACCAAATGGTAAGAGCAACTTAAGCCTGGCTGGGTAACATCCTCCCTCATTGTCCTTCTTTTTCCACTTCATTCATGGGCTGGAAAACATTAGAAAACTCAACTGGGTTCTCCAAAAACACCCTTCCAACCCCTGAGGACTATATGTTCTGTTTTCATGCAGTCTCTGCTCTCACAATCCCTTCTCTTGGGGGTATGTTTCAAAAATCTGAGTCATATGAATGAAGCCAGAAACTGAACTGAGCCCTAGATATACCAGGTTCTCCATATGTACTTTATCCTTTGCAGGCCGGATGAGGACCAACTGCAGCCGGTGTGAGAAAAACCTAACTCTACAGACATCTGTGAAAGTGTTGTATGTCTTCGTTGTCTTGCTGGTAATGGCAGTTGTGGTGCTGGCAGCTTTAGGTGAGTAAGGGACTAGCCATTTTTTTGTTTATGTGTTTATTAGGCCACCTAGCTCCATGGTGATGCTGGGCAGCTTACAGTAATAAAAACAATACAAACTAATATAAACGAAGCAGAAAGAAGACAAAAGTTGACTGAAGAGACAACCATCCAACTCATTACATAAAATATAATGAGAGGCTTATTACCCATCTTAAGGTTAGCCATCTTAGCAGTGATGGCTAACCTTTTTCTAAAGGTGTGCCAAAACTATGCATGCCCACATTTCTATCTAATATTAGGTTGTCAGCTGCTGGCAGTGCTATAACTCATAAAGCACAGGCTTAAATACTGCAGAAGGGTTTATCTGTAGGAACTCAGGCATTGTTAATCATCCTCCTTCAACATTTTCCAGAACTCTGGAAGGAGAGCAAGAAATATCCAGCAATTCTTCTTTTCCCCCAGATTCCATTTTGATGACCCTTCTTGGTCCAGTTTTGACTTTTTTCTAGCAATTAGCCTGTACTTGTTCTCTTTTCTCCTCAACTGATGACTCAGTTTTAAGAATTGGCTAGTAAAGGCCAATCTTGGTATATTACTCTTTTGGGGGAAGTGTTCAATTTATCACTGCCTCTCTGCCTGCCTGCTTGGATTCCATCTGCCTAGCCTGGAACATCTGCAAATAAATCTCATCTTTTTTATGAAGCTTTTTGGCAAAATGTTTTAAGATATCTATTTGCAACATGGCCTTAAAACATGTTGCTAAACCAATCTCAAATTGATCTTGTTGATAAACCACACTCAAACCTTGGTGTGTTTATTCATGGTTTGTTGAAGAAGTCTTTGTTGGCTGAGTTCACAATGTGCTAAGCCAAATACAAAACAATTATTGATTCCTCCATATAATAATGATAAACACCATCAAACAACATCTGGCTTCCCAGGTCTTTGGAATGGAGTTGATAGGTGGATAAAAATGCAAAATCCAGTCTGAGCATCTGGTTAATTGTGTGACAAACCATAATAATAACCTTGTTTGCTGCCTGATTCCCAATAACTGGGCTACAAACTGAGTTTTAGTTCATTTATGTTCCTAGAATAAAATCCTTTTGGGCAGGACCTATCCTCTTGTAATTTGAAAGTATTCTTTGAGGGATTTTCATCTGTTTTATTCTCTGGACTGGGTTCATTTACAAATATAGTCTTTCTTTTCCTGACCTCTTCCATCACACAAATTAAGTCCACCTATGTCGATTTTGTTCTATGGATAAATACAAAGTCCTGAGCCCATTTATATAATTTCCTTCAACATTCTTTTGACTTGGAAAGAATGAAAAGGCATCCCAATCTGGTTTGCATATTCCTCTCACAGTCTATAATGAGTGTCTGCAACAAAAGTGCTTGTTAAACCTGGAACAAAAGTGGCTGTGTTGAAAGAGCAGTTGGCGACTGTTAGGCCTTGTGTATTTCAGGTTCTACATAATCCGCCAGGTTCTAAGCATGGCCAACACATTCCCAAGATGGAGACAGCAATCATATGCCTTTCAAGGGACAATCTGGTGTTGATAACAGGCCAAGAGGAAATGGCACCCTAAAAAAGCAACTGTCCAAGGATAGTTACAAAGGCTCATCTTTCTTTTGTCCTCAGTTTGAACCAATTCCAAGTGGCAATTAGGAATCTTTCCACCTTTTGAGCCAAGGAACGTAGAGGAGGGAAAGCAAAAATCCTAAATTGCTGATTGGTGTATCAGATTCTAGGACGTAATAGACAGGGGAAGAATGCACACAATAGAAGAAAGGTCAGCATCACTGGTGGAAACTTGAGTGTTACCTTAGTTCAGAAACAGCTTGTTTTTTTTATTAGAAGAGCCCTGACATACTTTTTGTATATAGTCACTCTTTATGATTATATATAAGATACACAGAAAGCTCTAACTTAGATGCCATAATATGTTTGTCAGGTTTTTAAAACTCAAGAAGTTATCTCCATATGCAAGCCCAAAGAGTAGCATTCAGGATACCCAGCAGCAGGGCCGGATTTAGATGAAAAAAGGCCCTAGGCTATTCCACTTATGAGGCCCTTTCACCTCCCATTTTTAA